CGCAATATAACTTACATTTTTTTAAATAGATTATTTTTTTTGAGCATTTTTTGTATCAACAGTTTTTTTCTATTTTCAAAACTGACCAAGTTAGAGTAAGTCAAAGTTTGGATTTATGCATAATTCGTGTTTAACGAAATTTTCACTTATAACTACTGGAAATAATAAAATAAATGTTAAATTTACCTTATCTGTTTACAAATAATAATTTAATAATTATATAATATGTGTGTGCAGCAGAGGGACTCAATATTATAATATACTATTATTATTTTATTATTTAAACCCTAATTTAATTTCCCGATTTCCCTATGGCCCAATCCGTCCCTGGCCATAGTAGTTTGTTCCTAACCTCGAGGCTTAAGTAAACAGTGATGGCCAAATTTAAGACGTGTTAGATTTTAGCGCTTATATGCTATTCATATAGTACCTAAGTAACTAATTACAACCTCTTTGTATTGCCGTCTTGACGTTTAATTAAAAATAAACAAATAAATACAATTGTTACAATTGTTTATACAAGTAAAATATAGCTATTAAGGTACCTATATTATTTAATAATAGGTTTATAAAATCATAAAATATTTATAAGCTAGGGTTCAGATTTAAATGCCCTAAAAATGTTATGTAGATTCTGAGTGGAACGATGAATGTATAGATTTAACAATGATGTGTTTTTTTTTTTTATATATATTTTTTTTGTGTATGTGTACACGATAAGTAGTCGAAATAATGCTTCGAATTTCAACTTCAATATCTTGTTCGATTGGAAAGTGAATATCGTTGGTGCATTGGGGAGATCAAAATTTAAAATTCCCAGTAATTTTCAGAAGTGCCAAGAAAAACAAAAGAAAAATTAAGGAAAAACGGGAAGTTTTACGCAAAATCGATTTTTCACAAAATAGAATTTGGTTTTTGGTGTAACATTAAAACAAATGACCGTAGACACATGCAATTTTTACCGATTGTTTATATATTTTAAATTTTCTATACACGATAACATTTTCAAAATATTTTGATTTATTTTGAACAGTTTAGGGATATTTTAATTTACCGTTTTTTTTCTAAAAATATCAATAAAATTGTATTTGTTAGTTAAAAAAAGCTTGACAATTTAATAGAAGGCTCCTAGTATATTTTTTCAAAGGCAGATGAAAAATATTAAAAATCCTTAGTCACAGTTTTTTTTTATAAGCATTTAAAGTTCAAAAATGGACAAAATATGGAAAAATCATGAAAATTAGAAAATTATTTTGAGTTAAGAATTCATAAAACTTTTTCTTTCTAAATCTAAGATTTTAAAATGTAATACAAGATTCCTTATAAGATTATCTACCTTTACCAAAAAAAAACTGTCAATAAGAAAGTCAAATTAAATTTTTATGATCGTTTGAAATTCAAATTTTTACAACATAAGAGATATTCACTCGATTTCTCATGTAGCGATTTCTTTATTTTGTTGTAATTCAAAGACGAATAACTTTAGATACATGAAAATTTCACTGAATATTTATATTAGCATTTCTTATACACCATACAATTTTGAAAATATTTTGACTCTTTTTGAGCTGTTTACGGACAATTAGTTTTCAATTTTTTTAGTTTTTTTTTCTATAAATATCAATAAAGTTTTATCTGTTGAACCAAAAAGTGTAAAAATTTAATACAAGGCTCCTGATATATTGTTACAATATCAGTTGAAAAATATGTAAATTACCCGAGGACAATTTTTTTTATAAGCATTTAAAGATCGAATTTTGACAAAATTTATCAAATTTGAAATTGAATAATTATTTTTTAGTTAAAAATTTATAAAATGTTCAACTTTTATATCTAAGGATTGAAAATTTAAAACAACATTCCACGTAAGTAGTTAATTCTGTTACCAAAAATCTAAAAAATACATAAGCACAGTTTATTTTTATAGTCATTTTAAGTTCAAATTTGGACGAAATTACATAAAAAAAAACCTAGAATAACTATTTTAGTTATTTTGTTGTGATTGTATAATATTATTTGTGGGTACTTGAAACTTGTAAACTACACTATTACATAGGTATCCATGATAGTATCACTGTTTGTTATTAATATAATGTATATTAATGTATTTTTATTTTATCACCATAGAAAGTATATAATATTATGTCTTATACCTAGACTGACATGACGTCTCCACTGAGAATCGTTTTTCTTATACAATGATATTTTATCATTGAATTCAAATTTAATACCATCCATTATACAGTGACCCACTTGTAAACTACTGTACAGCAGAGCACCTTTTTTTATAATGTAGATATGTTTTTTTACTAGATACAACTATTTTTCGTAACCAATATTGCATAACGCTTTGTTATCAGTTATCGTTATAGAAACCTAAATTAACAATAAAAACAAGCATAAAAAAAAAATTATGATAAGAATCTATCTACGATTTCTCAATTTTCCTTATAGAGAAAAAATATCTAGTAGCATAAAACTTTATGTTTTTAAATTGTATTAAACATAATGAATTCAATACATATATTTTAATGGTACTTTAATAATTCTATTATAAAAATTGAAACTGACTTATCGGCAACAGCAATGGGAGGTCACTGAAGTATCCAACTTGAAATTGATAACTATGCTTGCTGCCACATATCCATTAGGATATTGAAGTTGGTCAAGAAGCACCAATTGATAATTATGTAAGAACCACAAGACAAATTAATATTGAGTGGTAATATTGTCTGTAATTAAAATGTTGAAGATGATTTTGTGTAGACAACCGGCAAAATATAATACTTTCACACAATAACTGTACTAAGAATAAAAAGATGTTGTGTTTTATTTATTTATATGAATTTAAATTGTCTTCCATAACCATATGGAATACATTTCAATTATCCATACACATTTAGCACTTGAGTCACCCTGTGGTAGGAAAAAATTGATTCACCTAATTTACACTAACTCTTTTTGATTTAATGTAAATATAACCATTCAACAATTTATTATTTGTCCGTTTTAACTCGGTATTTTGTCATGTATTAGTGTTAGTGGTTAAGGATATAAACGAATACAATTTATTATTGTGTATAATATATGAATATATATATATAGAATGTATTTGATATTAAATAATATCGTGACACGTACAAATCAATAGAAGCAATATAGAAAACAATGTAATTTAAAAATTATGTTTTGACACTCATTAAACTAATATTATAACATTTAATGTTTTGCTTTTCAGTCTTCACATAAAAAAAAAAAAAAAAATAAAAATAATAATAGTTATATTAAAATAATAATTAAAAAAAAAAATATAATATGTATATATTTATAAAAATCATTGGACATAAATTATTAATTCATTTTGTATTAAAATGCTCAATATAATAAGGGCAAATCATAGATTATAGAACACTTATATATAATATATGTAATACTCACATACACACACACTTCTAGTATATATTATCAAATTTTAAAGATACAAAATAGTTTATTACATTTATTACTAACATGTTACAAATCTAATATAGTAAATACAGTATATTATTTAAAATTATACATGGAAAGGATGATATTGAGGTAACATACAATTTTAAGATCATTTCATGTTGACATTGGGGAAACTCATGGCACTGATAAAAGTTTTTTTTTAATTGTTAATAGTTTTTACCACCTGTTCCAGTGGTATATTGAACAATTGTTATTTGCGATGTTATAAAAATATATTTTGGATTTGTTGATAACTTTATTAAAATATTACAAAAAATTTTTTTTTATGTATAATAATGAACACGAGTCAGTCACTATTCAATTCTTTGAGCATCAGCCATATAAAAGAATATAAAACAAAACAACAAAAGGTAAAGAAAATTAGGAGTCTTTGTAACTACTTTATAGTAATGTCATACAAATACTAGGTAACGATAATAATAATAATAATAATAGTAATAATAACTAAAACTATAACAGATAGATAACTTAGGAGTAAGACAAATGACACTTAATAAAATTAAGTTGAAAGAAAAAATAAATATATATATAAATACAAATTAACAAGTAGTTTAAACTTTACAGTTTTGAATTGTTTATAATGTTCTATATATTTAATTTGTATTTATCAAGAAAGCATTATTATAAGAACGGAAATATATTACGCCAACTGAAAAAAAACCAACAGGGAAAACAATTAAAACACTTAAAATAAAAATACTCAATATTGTATACAATTATTAACCATGATAAATATTCATAATAAATTCCACAAACAATAAATAATTTGTCAAGTTCAAATAAACGATTTATATTGTTTATTCAGAAAATAAAATTTAAACTTTTACTTTGCTTGCTTGAATATAATTTCAAAAGTTGAAGAAACGTAAAAAATAAAATTACTGAGATATTCTTAATTTTTAAATGAAGAAAAATTTTAGATAGATATGCATAATGCATTTTATCAGTAGCAGCTAACCACCCAAAATATTGAATAAAAAGAAAACTATTCATGAAGAACACAAATTATTATAAAGAACAGTAAAATTATATAAAAAAAAAAAAAAACTATCAAATATGTACTGAATTGCAAACAATCCTTAATACAATTATATTTTATATTTTTTAAGTATACAGAGATTACTGATTAAACTACCAGCATGACGGAGCCGGTACAATTCCGCTGTGCCCCGAGATCAACTATATTATGTATTATGTACTGTATACAATTGTCAGCACAAATTACGCGGCGATGCAGAGTATAAACCAATTGTGCAATAACACTATTTCTTAGTGTTCATATCGTCTTAGTTGGTAATAATGCACATTAGACAACAAATATTATTTTATCATTAATGTTATGACAATGGGGTAAAAATATTTGTGCCCCACCTATTGTGAACCATACGATCTACCACTGTGTTTTACAGAGATTATCAACGTTTATATAGTTAGATACTCACTCATATGCCTTAAGTGAAATATTAGGTTACATAATATTGTATTGATAATCACACTCCAATGTTTTTATGTACTCCTTGTAGTTCACGTAACACTTGTTGTTGATGCTCATGTTCAGCCTAAATTAAACATTAAAACACATATTATTATCAATGTAACCAGAAAAATAATAATAATATTATATTATAACATACCTTTAAGTGAGAAAAATCTGTAGCCAGAAAATGAGTGTTGGCATTTGAAGAAAGTGAATTTAACTCGGTTTGGATTTCTTTCAGCTGACCTTGTTGTTGGTCCATTTTCGTCTTAAGTGTGTTCTGCTTTTTCTCAAGCAATGCACTTTCTAAGCTCCTGTTATGTTGTAGGACATGAATCAACTAAAACATAAATTAAAATTATGGTTTAGAGTCAAGTTGACTAGGTACATACACTACTATTTAATAATATTAAATAAAACATACAGGATCTTGAGTGATATCTATTGGATTTACATCGTCATAAATACCTGTAATCAAATATTTGACATTTTTAATATTACATAATATTTTTTTGAGTTAAACATTATAGTACCAGTAACATATGAATTATAACTATCAGGTCCCATGAACAAAGAGTTATCATCGCCAATTGTTTTCTGAAACACGCAATATAATAATTATGCAACAACATTTTAATAATATACCTACAAAGATAATAATATAGTTGTACAGTTTAAAATTGATATTATCAGTAAAATCTATCATAGTGCTAAAATAAATTGTATTTTTTGCACAACATTGGGTAAAAACTTAAGTCGGTTTAACTGTTTTAAAAAATATATGATGGATTGGGGAGATTAATTTAATTTAATTATATTCTGTAGGTATTTATTAAATTATTAAATTAAATAATGTTATTTAATACTTTAAGTTCAGTTTGAACCAAATCTAATAATTTGCGAAAAAAAAAAAACAAAAAGTATGTAGAATTGTTTTGTATACATTTTTATGGAAGTTTATTGTAGCTTTACATTTATTTTGAAATTGTAAAGATAAATTTTTTTATAATATGCTATATCAGTTAAACAATTTATTATTCAAATTATTTTATAATAGTGTGTAAACATTCAGGAATGCATCAAAGTTCATTGGACTTCAAATTTACATAATATTATAGCTAATAATTAGTAATCTGAATATGCTATAATAATAATAAATATAGTGTACAGTGAACTTAAATTACAAATTAAATAAAAAATAATTATACATATTTAATAAATTAATGATAAATCACATATTATTAATTGTATACCTATTAAGCATTACCTCAAAAAATGTTTCAATTAGTTAATAAATTTAAAAAAAAAAAAATTAAAACTTGATAATAAAACATAAAAACATTCTATACTAAATGATAAATCAACTATGAAAAATTAAATATCGAAAAATTGCTGTAATATTATACATTCAAATTGGTAACATGTATTTTTAATTCATAATAGCGAATAGCCATTTTTTGTAATTTTCAGGGGAGAGAGGTTGGGGTTGGATCGTTGCAAACAATTAATTGATGGAAAACGCTAGTTAGTCAGATTTGAAATCATTCATAATTATATGAAATATTTTAAAATTCTTCTCAATTTTCTTTAATTAAATTATTACAATTGAATGTGTGGTATGGGGTCACATTTTCAATGTATACTGCAATTACTAAAGTCTTATTTTGCTTCAGATATATTCATACATACTAATTTATCAACAGTTTTTAATTTGATCAACTTAATTATTTAATGAAATAATAATCTGATAGTTTTAAAATTCTAAATTGACCAAAAATATAATAAATTAGGTTTTATTTAGATGTTAAGTTTATATCAGAACTAAATGGTTATAAATTATACATACATACATTTTATTAACATAATATAGTACGAAATAGCAATACCAAATTTAAATTATTTGAGAAAATCTTACCGCGAAATGATCAATATCCGTCACATCAGCAATTAAAGGATCTGAGGAAAAAAGAAATATATTTTTAACTCATGTCAATTATTAGTACATGGATAAAAAAAAGCATATTTTAAGGATGATATATTGTATATGTATAATGTAACTACTAATTATTTTAAAATAAATCATTACCGATATTATGGTGTTCATCGATGCTGTGTGAAATTAGTTGGATTGGAGTAGCTTGAAAGTTAGAAAAATTGTCAATACATCCTAAAGGGCTTATCTGATTGTCAGACTCACTATCTGTTTGGTTGCTGTAATTGCTACAGGTAGGTGATTCAACTTGCGTCTCTAACACAATTTTTGCTTTTTTTGGAAAGTAATCTATTGATTGTGAATCGTTTTGTCTTTTGGGTATGACAAATATGCCACCCCTACGCTCTAAATAAGCTCGATCTTTCTCTGTAGTTTTATCATAAGTTGGATGATTGTAAACTAGTACAGGTTGTCGAGAAATTGGTGGGGCAACTCGAAGTACAGATGGCCGATCCTGAGTTACTGGCTTAACATTGGGTTGAGGGGATAGAGATGATCGTTTACAAAATTTTGGTGCATTAGATGCTACTGAAACTGGAGGTATTGACTTAGACAATAGTGCAACTCTCATATACTCCTCGTTATCTGGCAAAGGTCCAGGATTCTGTGCAGTAACTTTAAAATTGTCCATTGCCGGTTCAGGAATATTTATAATCATTTGTTCGACCACCTTGTCCAGTGTTTTAAGATCTTCAGTAACATCTTCCAATGTTACAGTAGATTCTTTTTCCATCTATAATAATGATCAATAAGCATTTTGACTTATGATATAACAATAATAGTACACTTACAAATTGATTATTAGTTATTGCAGCAATTCCAGGTTCAGACGCAGCGACTATTAATGGTGTAAACCGTTTTTTCATTTCAATTATTTCTCTTTTTCCTTCTTCTGGGGACACCAAAGTATTAACACAAATGAACGATTCAATTGTATCCTCAATTGGATTCAATTGCAAGAAACCATGTGTTCGCATATACACAAATTCTCCATTTTTTGACAACAATCTATAGCAACTACTGCCAAAACTTTGACCCTTAAAATACACTAAACAAGCATACAATTGTTACAAAAATTATGTACATAATAAAATATGTATAGACACTATACAGTAAGATTTTGATAATCCGGCATGCTCAGTAATCTATCAAACTTTTTGCTTTAATAGATAAATGTAACTCAATAACAATATAATGGAAATAAATACATTTCCTGTTTAAATATCTATTTTTTTTTTTTTTTTGACAATTCGGCGGTACTATGGTCATATATGTGTAGGATTATCAATACCTCACACTGTATAAAATTAATTATGTTAATAAAAATATATACTTTGTCTTAGAGCAATCATCACCCAACGTACATCATCTTTATGCATGTATTTGAATGCCAGTTGTCCAGATACTTCTTGAGGCATGAATCCAGATACAATCGAAATTCTATAAATATATTTTATATTGTTATATAATTAGTATTATTTCAAAAATGCATTAAAAAATAACATGTATACTTTGCCCCATATAAGAGTAACCCTAGGTGGATACAGATTTTTATCAGGTTTAGTCAGACCGCTCTCATCAATAAATCGGTTTGTCAATTTTGGTTTCTAATGATCGGTTACGGCCAAAAAATCACTTTACCATATAAATCTTAACAAACACACGGCACACATTAGCCCACACTATGCCACTGCCATGCACAAAATTCTGGGGCCTGGAGTTACTCTTATATGAGACAGAATGTATAAAAAAAATATAAAATTCTTGTTATGTTAGAGAACATACAAAAAAACTTCCAAAATCACTCCAGCTAGGATAGATTATTAATTGTGTATAGTAAAATGTCTTACAATGTTTATTTCAATCTACAATGACCATTTCTAATTAATAAGAAATTAAATAAATGCTTACCTATGATCAACATATATTATACGGCCATCAATTTGATGTCTAGTTATGTATTCTTCACGAGTTGCTTCTAACATTGATACTTCAGTCACACGTCGTTCATTGAATGGCCGGACAACTGCATTTAAAACTATATCATTTTCAGTGATTTCAGGATCTATAAGAACGTAAAATGTTCAGTTAATTAATTGTAACCTTTTTTAAAAATAAAACATCAATAATATAATATATTGTACTTTTTGAATCGGATTTTTGAACCATTAACGTTCCCATCACATGTACCAGCTCCACCTCTGGTTGCTCATCACGAGAAGCCACTTTTTTGACCAACCGTAAATAAAATGTTCGACGTTGTATTTTAAAATTTCCATCATTATTTAGTAAAGGATCCTTAGTATCGTCTAAAACACAAAAATCAATAAGAATTAATACCAAAAGAAATATTGCTTTTATGCCCTTTTTATGGACATTACAATATGGCTCATTCAACACATAACCTCTAACCATGTACAACACCAATTTCTCCATCCTAACCAAAATTTCACAGACTAAATTCTTCTTGACACTCAATAAATAACAATTTAAAATTAATTAAAATTCAAAACTCAAACCCAAATCGGTCAAACATTAAATTACAAATAAACTCGAAAGTTTTACATCCATACTGATATTTACACGCACTGATTGTATGGTACCTACAATATCAATAAGTATGGTAGATGGTTATTGATTATTATGCAAAGTAAATCGGAATAATAATAAGACTTCAATAATATATTTTTGTTTATTCATTATAAACACAGACATTTTGGTTTTTTTCAGTTCCTACCACAAGAGTTTTACATATTTTATAGGTTTAAACTTTCCGAAGTCATAAAAATAAAGTTGGTCAGGACACAAAGAAATCAAATGTTGGGTACTCTTTGGGAAACTATTGAGAACATATCTGGTACATCAAAAAACGACCTCTACAAAGTACTCACTCTTGATTTTCGATCAGTGAAACACCGTCTCCGTTCAAAAAATATATAATAGAAAAAACAACAGACATTTCTGTATTGCTGTAACAAATCTTTTAGCCAGTGGCGGCTATCTCGACAAATATAACAGGTGCTCACTTAAAATGAACTAGTACATACCCCTACCAGTATTTCGGGTAACCTAAAAAATTACTCATTTCACAAAAAAACTTTTTAACCTACTAACATTAAAAGTTTATTTTAAAGACCCAACAGTTACAACCCACCCATCCCAATTATGAAATTGGTGCTTGAGCACCTTTTCAGATACGTGATAGCCGTCACTGCTTTCAGCTCATACACACATTGGTCGCTTGGCTCAGAGTCTTATGAGTTATACCTACAGGCTATAGACATAAGATAATATTATGTATAAATAGTATATGCTTATTATAACTATTAAACGGGTTTTCTACGATATCGGAAATAACAAAAATCTAGTCGCAAGCAAATCCGTTCGCGGCACTTATAATTAAATAGAAATACCTAATGCTACCTGTATAATATGTATTATAACGCCATAGTATTATTACACAATAATACATTATGCTGATCGTATTAAACATTTACAATTTACATATCCAAACACTACACATTACGCAAATTTCGAAAACGAACAATAGACTTACTGGTGCCGCTGTTTGGTGTTTCGTCTTGATACTTGAGGTTTTTTCTTAGCTCATCGTGATCTTTGGGATGGGCAAAATTAAAAAGTGATTGGCCCATGAGATCGATCTATAATTAAAATGCAATGTTAATATATTTTAATTTTATGATACACAGTACACACATAACATGCATGTCAAATATGGTAATAAGTATGTCATTTTTCGATCAAATATAAATACGATTTTTCGATTTAAATGAACTGAAATTTTCATAGAAATACACTCAAAATTCAAATACCCCATGTGGGGTTACACGCACAAATTTGCCACATAATTCAACGCCATTATCAGAACTTCAATTGTCAGTCCTTAGTTGTCAATACCCACAGGTTGCATTATACGGAAAACTGGCAGCAATGAAAATACCATTATAATTTATTCAACTAATATAATTATATTTATTTTACGCGTAAAATAATACATAACATTATGACATTATCTGTTCCTTGAAATATATAAGAATCGCCTATACATTGGTATATTATAATAATTTTATCAATGGTTTGAATTCTTTAAATTTTCTCTAATTACACGGTGTTTATCGTAACTAAGTTAAAGATTAAATTTATTTTCTGCACAATAACAGTTATGATTTCCTACATTCATTTTTTCATAAATATCAAGACATAAATTGCAAATTACAGGAGAATACAATAAATAATAACCATACATACAAATTAATATAACACATTCTTTACTGTAATGTTTTATCTTCAACGAAGAAAATATTTTAGTTCCGACACCGTGTTGAATTAACATAATATATATTATATCTTAGTATATTAAAATGAACACTGAAACTAGTTTAAATTGTTTATATATTCCAATAGATTTAAAATATAAAAGAATGTATTGTTGTCTTGTAATATACAAAAAGGTCGGATAATTAATTTTTTTTTAAAAATTTTTTTTTCGATGGGGAAGGGGGAGTTTTCTTGAGGAGGGAGGAGGAATAAATAAATGTGAACAGGTTTTCTTTCGTTGAATTTTATTCATCACTTACTAACAAATAAGCTTAGTGTTAACTGTTAAGATGTGTTAGTAGTTAACAAGACGTGGTTTGATTGTTTTCATTTATGGATTATTCTACCAGTGGCGTATTTACGATTTTGGCGCCCCTTTTTTCTCAGTTTCCTTTTACTCATTGTCACAAAAAACTCTAATTTACAATTTACTTTTTCTTACAGTTAATAGTGCAGGGCTTGAAACCGGTATACCTAAACCGTTATAAAACCGAAACGGCAAAAAATTGGAAACCGGTATTAAATTCAATATCGACTCGAAAAAATTGGATACCTGTATTATAATTAAAAACCGAAAATATAATTTAAAAAACGGTATTTTTTTTGAAAATCTTTGTATCTTGACATTTTGAAAAGTTTACTTTACACAATAGGCGATCGGACAGTCGATCCAGCGATTCAAAAAAATTAATAAACTAAGAATGAACATAAATAATCCAGGTCTTGAAACCGATTTTTGAAACCAGTATAAACCGTTTAAAAACTGAAACCGATAACAAAATCCAAAACCAAAACAGAAAAAATTGGAAACCGGTGTACCAAATCGAAACCAAAACAGAAATGTTTTCAATCGATTTCAAGCCGTGTATAAAAGTGATAGTTGATAACACTAAATGTACATTTTCCCCTTATTGCATTTATGCTTCCACTAATTTGGAGAACACTTTTATTTTACCATTAACACTCCGTTTATTCCTAATTAAATAAATAAATTATAATTTTGATTTTAGCCTTTTAGCCTTTTTTTACGACAATTTAATAAAATATATTATATATTATATAATAATATAAACATATTACATAGAAATATGAATAGAAATGTAAAAGATACTATAAGAAAGATACAGGTATTCACTTATCAGTCATCACTAATATAATTTCTCAATAAATCCAATAAAATAAAAAAATAATTTTGTTATAACCTCTAGCAACGGCGCCCCTTTGAGCACTCAGAATTTGGCACCCCGGGGCAATTCCCCCCCCTAAATACGGCACTGGATTCTACTACGTAAGTATAATGAGATGACGTTGGTTGTTTAGAGGACAGAAGTATTATATATTGGAAAGTAAGAAAGATAAGATAGGCACCTAACGATACGTTGAGTTTATTGGGTGAATAGGAAACATTTCAACACCAAAGTCTGTGGTAAAGCTGTGGATGAGCTATCATCTAAAAAGGATGAAAATGAGGCCCGGGAAAGCTATGATCAAAGGTCTGCGATATGTTAAGCATGTAGAGATCTTTTGAAATATAATAGGAAAATAACTTGGATTTTAAACTACGTGTATTGATTATGCGACAAATGATACGGTTGGCACGCGGATATTGTTTCAAATCTACAGTGAATTTGAGAAGGAAAAACGGCTTTATTTGTTTTAAATAGAGCAATATAATTTATGATATTATAATACAGACCTATCATAGTTTTGGGTATACAAGTTGTTAAAATAATTTTGACAGGATGACGAAATTGATAAATATTTTGATTGAATTCGGACGGGAACTGAGAGTTGGGGATTCTTTAGTTTAGTATTATTGTTTAGTACGAGTTCGGTTACTATTCGTATTTTACTATTTTAAATATCTCTATCAGCAGAAGTGCATTTCACAATATAATAGAAAGCGTAAGACGTATTACACATAAATACATAATATATAAAAAGGAAATATTATTTTAAAAATACTTAAGGTTATTTTTAAATTGCTATTATGTAAGATTTAAAATGAGATTTGGTTCAAAAGTATGAAGATAAAATAGAAATATTTGGGAATATTTGTTCAGTTGTAAAAGTGCACTTAATATATCGATGCATGGATAAATTAATTTTTTTTCAATAATAATCTGTGTTAAATAAATAAAAATGTATATTTAATATGTATTTATTGAACAGAAACCTAAACATCTAGATTTTTTTTATACATACAGTAAAATTTGAAAATTCTTGATAACGCGATATAATATTATATAAGTGAAAAATGTTCAACTTTTGTACAACAATTAATGAGCCAACTATAATCGCAATCAATTAAAATCTAAAAATAAACAAAACCGTACAACGATATTAAATAGAACTATTTGTATTGAAAATTCAAAGTACGAAAAGCAAAGAAGAAAATATAATGGTTGGTCGACCTTGATATTATAATGTGCATACGTGACTTTGCAAGTAATATTGCAGAACTGCAGCAGTTTTATAAACATTATAATGAGCTTGGGTGCATTTCAACTCAAAAACCCTTCCGTGCTTATATAATTATTCACGAATTAATGTTATAAACTATAATATCACACAATGATGGGCTTTGTGATAAATTTGTAATTAAACGCTCGTGGTTGAATGCAATTTCCAAGGATATACTGTGTTGTATTATATTATATTATGTAAAAATAATAAAAATAAGGTTAAAACTTAAAACGGATGCAGTGCGAGTAACCCATCTATACAAATGTGTTTATCGTTCGGTCAACGATAATAATAATATTATAAAGAACGGTGTCCTTGGCTGGTGCATACTATGATGGTTGCGCGGGTAGTGATGGCGGGGGGGATTGATGTGGGTGAGAGGGGAAATCAATAGTATGCAATGTGCATTGCTTCCACGATAAAAAATCAAGGTAAGAGAAAATATTTTGATTAAAATACAAAATATTATATTCTACCGTAGAACGATCAAACAACAATGACACGCAGTCGGCGCTGGTGCAATAATAATAATAATAATAATATAATAACGCACTTTGCGAATTAAAATAATATATCCGGAGGACTATCGAGGTGGGTTTTACTAAGTGGACTGAAAATAATAACTACAAAATAAAAAACGGTCGTGTGACCATCGGGAACCAATGAGAGATCGATAATGATAATGATAATAATTATATTATAATATTATTATTATTATATTAAACAACTATTAAGTGATATTATTATTTATGTAAACTTTCGCAATGACGGCAGACACAATGGACAGTTAGAACGCACTTTAGTTTCGCGTGCGATTAAATACGTGAGAGCGACGGGCAAAATAAAAATAAACCTCGACCAATGCGACTGCGTACTGCGCAAAAGGCGGTAATACTCGAACTGATGACATACGTAGGGATTGGGGGGGGGGGTGAAGGGATAAAAAGATTGCCTATCTAAGTCCGAACGCGGCGCAACATATAATAAAACAACAACGGCACGGACGATAAAAAACGCATCACTACAACAACAATAATATTATTATTATGTATGCGCTATGCGCTTTGTGACCAACAAAGTAGGAGCGATCTGTAAAAACTACAGTGGGAAACGACATCCATTGTGCGTCATTTCTATCGGATAATTAAATAATTAATACAACACTTTAATATAACAACATAATACCTATATCGATACTCATAAAATATGGTATAGTCTCAAGACTGAAACGAGCTATAATAATTTTTCGTCGATTACATAGACCTCTGTGAGAAGAAGACTAAGGCACTGTTATACAGCGATACCTATAATAATACGTAGGTATAAAATATTACTATATTGTTTTCTAGTTTTCTAACATTTGTTTTTAAGTTGCAGTAAGAGCATAATATAGTGCAATATAATAGCACATATTATCACATCTGCAATAATAACATTATTCACATTTTCAAATACACATTAAAAGTGGCGGAATTCCTTAGGAACTGCAATACAATTAAGTAAATTTAAATACATATATAAATATCTACACACAAGGTTAGCGTAATAATTTAATCACGTATTAATTATGAACATCGTAAATAATATGCTTGTGTGTAAATAAAATGTAAACGACAATAAATAATGATCTGCCACTTTTAGTGTAATAAGTAAAGCTTGAGCATTTAAGCATTCAAAATCATTCTCACATAAATACACGGTGGTATAATAAATATTACGTCCCGAAAAATTAAATAAATACCGTATTCGAATCCGTAAATAAATATGCATACAGCGGTAATTTAAATGCAATGCAGAAACGAAAATAGGTACAGTTTATTATTTTAAAATGTAAATAATTAGATATATTCTGTATTGAATCACTTTATTTTTACCGACTCTGGACTCTTACCAGTGTTTCAACTTTCAAAAAAAAAAAAAAAAAAAAACACTCAAGGTAAAACGAATACCAATTGTGAATTGATGCAACTTAATAAGCGTATTATTGATTTTTAATGTATTTTATAAGTATTACATAATATATCAACTTGAAAATCACAAATATTTATAGAGGGCAACTTGATTTCCAACTTAAACACCGTTTATAAATTAATATAATGATGAAGTGTGAATCAATGTCTTAGATTTTAAGTTAATTTATATAATTGCATTTCAATTGATTGGAATTATTTAAAGGACTTAGACATCTATTTAGATAGTTTCATCGCATGGTGAACGAGGTGATTTTTTAATTGAATTTAAAAAAAAAAGTTTGTATAATATTATTATAGACACAATGTACATCTGTAATAAATAAAATCGATATTATGTTAGTTTGATACTAATAAATTATAATAGAATTATTATTTAAAACAGAGCCTTAATTTATGGTGAACCTACGAAAAGAAAAAACTTACCTGTGAATAGCCTAATATATTCTCCACGGAGTGCGAAACAAATACTATTTTACCACCTGATGTGACCATGAGGTAAATATCGTTCTCCTGTGAACAAAAAATAAATCATAAATAATAATAACATCAGCTATGAGGGAAATTGAATAAGTATTATATAACGTATATTATGTAGTTCAAGTGTTCAACATGTGTTGTAAAAACGTATTCGAAGCAATTTTAGTGATTAGTAATAGATATAGGTTACTAATAAGTAATGACCAGAAAGAAGTATTGTCATGCTATTTTTTTTTTGTCTTAGCGTTTTTTTCGTTGGTTTATAATTTCGTACATGGAACATTTTTAGAAATAACTGCCAATGCCGTGTAAATCGTAATAATATAAAGAGTTTGCACTATTTGAATAAGCATGGCGTACATACAGTATATAATTATAACATCTAGGCTAGGTATATTATAGGACTTTCTTCTCGGCATAATATAAAATAACATTATGTTAGGTTTTTAGAAAACGAACTTTTGGCACAGCATGCCGCATAATGAACACCATTAAGTAATAAATACACATTAACTATAGCAGCATCGAAGATGATCATATGAAGTGTATTTTTCCCTTTCGACAGATTTATTTATACAGATAATTATAGGAAGTAGAGACCTGAATTATATGAACTCAAAATATGCTAAAATATGAAATATGAAATATAAAAAAATGTATACAAGAAAAGAGTTAAATAGAGTATTTACCTAATATGAATAATATCTTTTTCTAATAACAAACATTTAAGTAGGTTAATCACATTTATATTTATTAGAAAATGTTTAGAATTTTAGTTATGTATTATATATAATACCTATATTATGTATTTATTTTATTATTTTTATTATATTTAGTTCAGTGGATTCAAACAAAGGACACAAACCATGGTAGCAACTTTGAGTAGCATTGTTGTAGTAAAAATAGTGTTGCAAATAATATAAAACTATGTATACAAACAAAATATATATACATTTAAATTATCAAAAAGAGTTCCCAGATTATTTAAAATTAATTTTTGATCAACATATTAACCCTCGTTTTTATATTAACGAGGATCAAGGAAAGAATAAAAAGTTATTATTATATTAAAAGTGTTTAAAATATACAAATTTTATTATATGCTTTAACATGAAAATATGTCTTTAATCTCTCAAATATGCATCAATATGCAAAAGAAAATGTCGTCAATGAAATCAGTTTGATTTGAAATGCCCACATTTCGAACTCTCATAGTTCAATAGTTGTGCATACTGCATACACTCAGTATGAACATGAAAAAGCATGCAATTCCGGTCAATAGTTATATGTAATAACTAATAAATAACAACCATAATCTATTAGACTAGATATGACTCAGGCAACAACTTAAATAGTTATATGTAATAATATTCTTAAATCCTTAAAATTTATATATATAATTTATCTGCAGAAATAAATGAGAGTAATTCAATTTAAATTTATAATACGTTAATTACCAAAATAACAAAATATTATGCGTGTATATAACTTATTTTTTTTAGTTGTAACCTGAAACAAGTATTAAATGGGTTTTGTGTGTTCTGTTTTCAGTTTTTTACAGCTACATCGATGCCTATACTAAACCGATATTTTCTATAGGGCGAGTGAGCGACTTGAATGATTATATATGTAACGAATAACGGTTAAAAAATAAAAATCAAGATAGGTACACTGATAATTAATAACTATAGTAGATATATCTAGATATAGAATTGTATTAAAAAAGATATACATACGTCCAACAGAAGATCAGCCACATTAACCTCGCTTATGTAACCTGGCAGATTCTCACGATTTTTTTTTAGTCCTAATAATACTGGAAAATAATAAATAAAGAACCATGTGATTTTGATTATATTTTTAGTTGAAAGAATAAACATTCGCGGGTGACTTACATCGCTTCAGCCGGAGAAATGCAGCACTGAGTCTAAGAACACTCGTTTTTTCTACTTTTTTAGAAGAATTTGATATTAGTGGTACAAGTTCTGTTAGGTCTGTGATAAATTTATTCAACTTTTGTCGCCGGTGTTTTTCTGCCAAATTTCGACTCACTCGGCTGCTGGAACTGAAAATTAGAATACATTATTTGTAGCTAATCTAAAATTTAATAGCATATAATATTTGTTTTCTTAAATTCTAGTTTGAAGGGGATTGGAAACGGTGATTTCGTGTTGTTGTCCAATACACACGCACAACGTAGAAGTTGAGATGTGTTATATTTCCAAAGATAGTTCAATTTATCGAAGCTAAAAGAACTCTGAAAAAGGAAGTGCATTTTTCGTTATCCAAGTCTATACTGAGATCGACATTTTGATTTTATTTCATTAATTTCCAAAAGTTATATTTAAAAAGTATAAATTAAAAATTTGTCTTATTTCAACTTTTGATGAAGTTAAAATCAAAAAGGTGGACAAGTGAGTACCGCACTGCTGTACAGTAGGTGTCGACTGTCGAGTGGGTCACTATATTGTAAGATGTGTTAAATTTGAATTCAACGATATAAGTAATATGATCATTGCAGTGTATACGAAAAACGATTCTGAGCGAAGACCGTCTATCATCCTATATTACAAGTACCTATATATTTTTATTATAATATTATTGATAGGTATTAAATAGTAATTTATTTTACTATTAACACAATACATTTTTTTGGTTACAGTATGAACTACTTATGAGGAACCTTGATTAAAATGTCCAATTCCTAGCTATAAAAATTAAAAATTTTATATTTTTTTAACTACAAAATAATTTACAAATTTTAATGATTTTGATGAATTTTGTCACGATAATTTTCAATATTTTTCAGGAGATTCCTTAAATGCAAGGGCCAAGGAACAACAACTATTTATACATAGAAGTATTGAAATAATTAAAGTAGTTCACGCAGTGAGGTTTAAATATAGTGGCTATTTTTTATCAGATCTATCAGCATAATTCTATAAAGCTATGTCAAATACAATAAAATCGAATAACATATTATTTTGTGTTACTATACACACACTACACTTCTATGTTTTCTGAATCCAAATGATGTGATAAAATAAAAGATCTCCCAGATCTAGGAAACAATAGAACAACGAAGCTACCCCGGCTGCATGATATGTTTCTAAATCGGTTAAGACTGAAAAATGTACCTATACAAAGTACGACACATATTTACCGAATTTGGCAGTGAATAGCTTACATCGGCCTTGGAATGGGACTATACTTGCGACGTACGGCGCAGGAGAGGAGGGGATGTGCAGTCCGTTTTTGGTTTATACGTAAAACGCAGTCGAGTTGATTTTTACGGTATTCTATTTTTGCTGTTTATTATTATGTTAAAACGACATTGCACATTGCATCACTGTTCTCTCACTCGAACTCTACCGAACATGCACTAAGCCATACGCACTATAAGCACCATCATCATCAATTGAAATGCACCGCAAGATATATTAAATGTGCACAATACAATATATTATACATTTGAATAACGTGAAGAAATGTTTGCGTGTTTTTCTCTTATTTTTACCGACAAATACCTATTTTACGATATACAAACACACTGCACGCACGTGTCAAGCAAAATGTATACAACGTACTTCGTGGTTATTATTTCCGTATTAAAGACGAATCGGTTTTTCATATTAAGATTTTTTTTTTTATATATAATGATGATTACAGCATTTATGTTCTAAATACATTTATAGAAGCTAGATTAACGATATTTTTTCATATTATACCAACAAGGTAAGTAATATAACAATCGGTTTAATTATAATGCCGTTAACGGGTCACGGGTGTATATAGTTTGAGTTTTAAGTATTTTTGAACGGAGGGATTTAAAAAATATAATAGAGTCCCTTCATGCCTATGGCATAACTCACAAAACCTGGTTGTTTATAATATATTTATATATGCATTGTTTTTGATCGCTTTTAAAACAACGCCGTAAAGATATTTCATAAAAAGAAGTTTTGATTTTGTATACCGCTATACTATATCTACATGTCACACCATTACTTACTTAGGTTTTAGCAATGTGAAGAATTTTCTGATTTAAATAGGCCATACATTTTCTTTTTATTTATGTCCTGTCAATTATTATAAGGGCTATCCTTATAAGTTTCAAAGTATGTAGGTTAATCAACCATATATAAATTGTAACCTATATTATGTCATCCAAGGTAGGGAATTGTAAGACAACAATTTTTTTTCTAAGCCATTACGGAAACGACAGCTAAATAATATAACAGCGAACAATATCTTACTGTGGATGTTAACTGATGAATAAAGATTTCTCCAGAAACCAAATTTTAGTAAGTTGTAATTGTTGTAAATCAGAAATCTATGCATGGATATACACGGGATTATAGGAAATTCTCTTCGAAAATATAGTTAAAAGCCAAACTGGTTGTAAATTTCTTGTACCAATTCTAGCTATTTGATCAACAATACCTTACAAGTGTACATCACATATACGGTTTTATTTTTTTTTTGCTTAAAGTAAAATTTCTTTAACGTATGAAAAAACTGGAATTTATACTCGGCGCTGTTAACATTTTGAGGTCAACGACATTGATATAAATTCTTTAACTGATATATTGTATGTACAGTGTACATAAATACATAATACGTTTAACTTAATAGCAAATTAAGGTTGAAATGACAACTGTACTAAGCTATGTTCAAAGTTAAGATTGAAAAGAAAAATTGTAATTCTTAGATATATAGATAGGAGGTAGTATGTATACTAATGTCGTGTTGTATACTTGGTTATCTACTTAATTTTTGTTATTATTTTCTTATGTAATTATAAGTAATACCTAAATTATTTTGTATTTAAGTAAGTTAAATCTTAATTAGATTTGCGTTTGACATTTACGAATACAACATTCAAATTATTACACTGATAAAAGTAATAAAAGTACCTAAATAAATTATAGAATCCGTTTAAGTCAATGTATATACTTATTTAAATTTTAAATTAATAAAATAATTAAAAGTATAGACTTGTATTTAAAATCAAATATTGATTATTCCAAAATAAATCAAATTGGTGGTTATTATTGTCATGGTTGGCTTAGGTTAAAAAATTATGGTTTTAAAATAAAATCCAGTTTTATTTTCTGTTTGTTCAGATTAAGGAAATTGGCTACAACACGGTTGAGCATAAAACACCTTTTTTACGACAAGATTGAGACAATTTGTAGGCGTATTGAAGACCTTAAACCTAAATTTTAAATAATTTGAGTATATCTTCTCATTATAAATATTGCATCAATACATTATTTACATTATTGAGTTCACAAATTGATCAATTATCAAAACTATTTATTAATATGGTCGAATTCCAAATAGTAGTATAACGATTGACAAAGTATACAATTTATTATTACTTATACTTCAATATAACTTATAAGTATATTATAATTTATAAGTTATAACTCATCTAATGCAAGTACAACTGACTTAAAAGGAAACATTTTTGTTTAAATACACATAATATACTTTTACAATGACATTAACATCACTAATCAATGCTGAAGAAAATTGTTATTTAATTAGGTATATTAGAGGATGTTAGCGCACTATTATTGTTTACTCTCTCTGACTCACGCGGAACATATAAGTTAACATATTATAATATACCAAATTTTAAGTCGACAATAATGATTATAATCATATTAATTTTTTAAATTAGAGTGGAATGACCTCTTATAAAATTTAAATGTAAGAATATTTTCTAAGACATCTCATTGGCGTTTTATTATATTTTTATTTTAAACTGAGTTATGAGTATTTAAATTTGTAAATTGTTTCTATATCTTAAAACACTCTTAACTCGCTTGAAAATTAAAGTATAATTAAAAGCCTATGAGATTTCTCAGATAATAATCTAAACTTTAAATTGCATAAGAGGTAATTTTACTCTTAATAATTTGAGAAATTAACATGATTATAATCATTATTGTGAACGTAAAATTGCATATGTTGAGAGTGGGTCACAGAGAGAAAACCATTACTGCTCTAACATCCCCTTAAATATACATTATAAATAAACATAGAATTATTTATTGAAAAAATGTATAAACAAGGTTATAAACGATAGAAGTATAATAGTGTATACTTAACAATAATTGACTATACTGCTATTACTAAAGGGCTTTTTAAAGTTAAAAACCGGAGTTTTGTGTATCATAAAACGGTTTAAATATTTCTTAAAAACTAAATTCTAAAATGTATTTGTTAAAATAAATTTTAAATTTCTTCATAATATTAGAAAAAGCCATACTTCGGACAATATATTGTAATTTTAGTAAGAAAAAAAAATTCGAAATCAATTAATGGGTTTGTTTTGTTTGTTCACCATTCCAATATATTATATTATAATATGTACTTAAAAAAGATGATGATCCATTAAAATAACTGACATAAAAACAAAAAATATCCGATAATATTTTAAACAACAACACACCTTAATAGTATTTGTTAAGATACATGTCATATATATTCATATTGTACAGGCCATTACTTCACAAGAATAATAATTATATGTAGGTGCCTGAGCATTAATGTATAATGTATATAGTTTTTTTTATCATTGGTCACCGATGAACTTAATAAATGAAAGAATATTTAAGACTGAAGTGAGTACAGACGTCCACTATCCAATGGGCAACGATACAGAACTATTTAAGTATAAGGGTGGTATTGTTTTACACGACTTGGGTTTGGTCATAATTCATAATACCTATTATTTTTATCATTCTCCTGCTGACCACCGAATGATACTAGATATATGCTTTTATATATATATTTATAACATGGCCGTTGTATCAATGACTTTAATGATAATATCATTAGCCAATAGCCATCATTATAAACACGTTATTGGCTATATAGCGAGACTAAACAATTTGGTATGTACACATAATAATATTATACAAGCATTGTTACAAATTAATTACACGTGCGTAAAAAAAGCAATGATTTAACAGACATCGTACCAACTAATTGATAACGACAACTATCTAACCTCCACATAAATAAATCATAATACCAATGTATTATCATTGA